AGGCCAAATGAAAGAGCACAAAATGTTTATATAGTTTGACCTCATTCCCCCCATTCCAGGAAATGTGTTAAACAGAAGGGACGGGTGGAGACTGACTTGAAACACAGTCACAGAGCTGGAAGAGACCATAAGGTCCAAGCCTATTCTGCCATGCAGGCACACACAATCAAAGCACCTCTGACAGATAGCCATCCAGTCCCTATTTCTACACACTTTTACAGACGGAGTCCCATGGAGCCCATCATATGATGCTACTTCCATATGTAAACTGATTCAAAAGTGTATAGAAACTGAGGATTATGGAGTTGGGGAGCAATTGTCCTCAGAGCTCCCAATTAGTGCGAAAACAGCTGAACACATTTAATTTAACGTTGAATGGAATGTCAGAATATCACATTGAGGAGGGAGCTAGTTTCTAATGCTCTGGCACAGGGTTCCTCAAACTTTTTAAACAAGAGAGCCAGGTCACAGTCCTCAAACTGTTGGAGGGCCGGAAAAACACTGAAAAACAATACAATTTTTTTTGTCGTGTCAGGAGCGACCTGCAAGTCGCTTCTGGTGTGAGAGAATTGGTCGTCTGCAAGGACATTGCCCAGGGGACGCCTGGATGATTTGATGTTTTATCATCCTTATGGGGGGCTTCTCTCATGTCCCCACATGAGGAGCTGGAGCTGATAGAGGGAGCTCATCCGCCTCTCCCTGGATTCGAACCTGCGACCTGTCGGTCTTCAGTCCTGCCACCACAGGGGTTCAAAAACAATACAATAATTAAAATGCAGAACAATTTTAACAAATATAAACTTATTAGTATTTCAATGGGAAGTGTGGGCCTGCTTTTGGCTGATAAAATAGGATTGTTGTTGTTGTGTTCTTTCAAGTCATTTCAGACTTAGTTGACCCTGAGCGGGCCAGGTAAATGACCTTGGAGGGCCGTATCCAGCCCCCGGGCCTTAGTTTGCGGACCCCTGGCAGGGGCGGCTCAATTGAAAGGGGGAAGAGAAGGCGGGGGGGGGGGGGGAGATCCCACCTAAACTTTAGGAAGACTTTCCTTGCAATAAGAACTATCTAGCAGTGAGATGAATTTCCTTCCCTGGAGGTTTATAAGCAGAGGCTGGATGACCATCTGTCAGGGGTGCTTTGATGGTGTTTATGCAAGGGGGAACGGGGCTAGGCCGATGGCACTTGGGGTCTCTTCCAACTCTAGTTTCTAAAGACATTAGAGTGGAGGGACAAAGGGGGTATTAGAAACGTCCCTTAATTTCCCCCCTATATAATAATATAATATATAAGGGGGCCCCGGTGGCGCAGTGGGTTAAAGCACTGAGCTGCTGAGCTTGTTGACCAAAAGGTTGCAGGTTCGATTCCAGGGAGCGGTGTGAGCTTCCGCTGTCAGCCCTAGCTTCTGCCAACCTAGCAGTTCGAAAACATGCAAATGTGAGTAGATCAATAGGTACCGCTCCGGCGGGAAGGTAACGGCGCTCCATGCGGTCATGCTGGCCACATGACCTTGGAGGTGTCTACGGACGACGCCGGCTCTTCGGCTTAGAAATGGAGATGAGTACCACACCCCAGAGTCAGACATGACTGGACTTAATGTCAGGGGACAACCTTTACCTTTATATAATAATAATAATCATAATAATTTTTATTTATATTCCGCCCTATCTCCCTAAGGAGACTCAGGTCGGATTCCAATATAAAAAGGCCAACATTCAATGCCTGAGACAGACAACACATACAAATACAATACAAATCGTTCCAAGCGGTCATGCCGGCCACATGACTCTGGAGGTGTCTACGGACAACGCCGGCTCTTCGGCTTAGAAATGGAGATGAGCATCAACCCCTCCAGAGACGGACACGACTGTACTTAATGTCGGGGGGAAACAATTACCTTTACAATACAAATAATCCAAAAGCCAAAAAAGACCAAAATATATATGGCGCCCTTTTGGCGGAGGAAAGGAAAAGGAAGCCGACAGGAAAGACAACGTGTCATTTTATATCGCATGCCACTGGCCGTAGAGAGGGAGAGCCGTCCTTTTCTGGCTTGGCTCCTCCTATTGGACTTCAGCTCCCAGAATGCCTGGCAATTGGCCACGCTGGCAAAGGCCTCTGGGAGTTGAAGTCCCCGCCAAGAAACCTGGCTGGTGAAAGAAAGATATGTAGAAACCGCGTTCTTTTTCTGGCGACGCTCTACCCTTTGCGACTCTATGGCCAGGCTTCTCCACTGAAGAGCGGGAAAGTAGGCCGAAATGACCAAGGAGGACTCACAGTGTTGGCTTTCTACGCCTGAGGAGTGGCGGCCCTCTATGGTCATTTCTCTCAGGGCCCTTCCACACAGCCCTATATCTCAGAACATCAAGGCAGCAAATCCCACATTATCTGAATGTGGACTCAGATAACACAGTTCAAAGCAGATATTGTGAGATCTTCTGCCTTGATATTCTAGACTGTGTGGAAGGGCCCTCAGATTTAAAGAGCGGGAAGGACCATCACGGTGTCCGCTTTCTACACCTGAGGAGTAGCGGCACTCTAACGTTACTACCTCTGTGGTCATTTTTCACAGCCTTAAAAAGAGGGAAGGATTGTCACAGTGTCCACTTTCAATGTTTAAGTTTGTTGTTGTTGTGGTTCATTCGTTCAGTCGCTTCCAATTCTTCGTGACCTCTTGGACCAGCCCACGCCAGAGCTCCCTGTCGGCTGTCACCTCCCCCAGCTCCTTCAAAGTCAAGCCAGTCACTTCAAGGATACCATCCATCCATCTTGCCCTCTTCCTTTTTCCCTCCATTTTCCCCAGCATCATTGTCTTCTCCAAGCTGTCCTGTCGTCTCATGACGTGGCCAAAATACTTCATCTTTGCCTCTAATATCCTTCCCTCCAATGAGCAGTCGGGCTGGTTGGATCTTCTCGCAGTCCAAGGCACTCTTAGAACTTTCCTCCGGCACCACAGTTCAAAAGCGTCTATCTTCCTTTGCTCCAGCTCTCACATCCGTAGGTGACTATGGGGAACACCATTGCTTTAACTATGTGGGTCTTCGTTGCCAGTGTGATGTCTCTATTTTATCAAGATTGGTCATTGCTCTTCTCCCAAGAAGCATCTTCTGATTTCCTGGCTGCAGTCTGCCTCTGCAGTAATCTTTGCACCTAGGAATACATAGTCTGTCACTGCTTCCACATTTTCTCCCTCTATTTGCCAGTTATCAATCAGTCCGGTTGCCATCATTTGGGTTTTTTATGTTTAACTGCAACCCAGCTTTTGCGCTTTCTTCTTTCACCTTTATTAGAAGGCTCCTCAGCTCCTCCGCCTTCAGCCATCAAAGTGGTATCATCTGCATATCTAAGGTTGTAAATGTTTCTTCCAGCAATTTTTACCCCAACCTTGCATTTATCAAGCCGTGCACACCACATGTTGTGTTCTGCATACAAGTTGAATAGTTTGGGCGAGAGTATACAACCCTGCCGTACGGCTTGAACCAGTCTGTTGTCCCGTGGTCAATTCTTACTCCGTTGGATCGGCCACGTTGTCCGGATGCCCGACCAGCGTCTCCCAAAGCAGTTGCTCTACTCTGAACTCAAGAATGGAAAACGGAATGTTGGTGGGCAGGAAAAGAGATTTAAAGATGGGCTCAAAGCCAACCTTAAAAACTCTGGCATAGACACTGAGAACTGGGAAGCCCTGGCCCTTGAGCTCTCCAGCTGGAGGTCAGCTGTGACCAGCAGTGCTGCAGAATTTGAAGAGGCACGAATGGAGGGCGAAAAAGAGAAATGTGCCAAGAGGATGGAGCATCAAGCCAATCCAGACTGGGACTGCCTTCCACCTGGAAACCAATGCCCTCACTGTGGGAGACGATGCAGATCAAGAATAGGGCTCCATAGTCACCTATGGACCCACCCTGGAGGATTATCCTACTTGGACAACGAGGGACCACCTGCTTCAATGCAACCTGAGCACTGCTACATGCACAATGGGGGACCTTCTTGCGGCAACACCAGAGGCACCCCAAGTGGCCAAATACTAGTCAAAGGACATTTAATCAACTACCAAGTTTGCAAAATTTGTGCTTTTTTAATCTGTTTGTTTGTTTTGTTCTGTTAGAAATGTAATACAATGGTATGGTTGCGATGACACGATAAATAAATAACGAGGGATCACCTAAGTAAGTCTTACTGTTGCTACTTGGTCATTATACAGATTCCTGAAGGCCTTATAAAGATGTCTGAGGAGTAGCAGCGCTTTACACGTTACTATCTCTATAGTCATTTTTCTCAGCCTTAAAGAGCGGGAAGGATTATCATACATTATCATATCAGACAGATATATAAACCCTTTTTCCTAGTTCCAACAGACCTCACTACCTCTGAGGATGCTTGCCATAGATGCAGGCGAAACGTAAGGAGAGAATGCCTGTAACCATGTCCATATAGCCCGAAAAAACCTACAACAACCCAGTGATTCCAGCCGTAAAAGCCTTCGATAATACATTAGGCTAGGTTCCTGGATAAAGTTTACTATAATTGGAGTCGTGATTATCATACTGTTGGCTTCTAGGCCTGAGAAGTGGCAGCGCTCTAAATGTTACTGCCTCTGTGGTCATATTTCTCAGCCTTGAAGAGCGGGAAAGCGGGGGTGAAGCGACCAATCAGGACTCTCCAGGAGGCGAAGGCGGAAGTCGCTGGGCGGGCGCGAGGGAGGGGGATGGCGAAGTCCCGCTCCTTCTCGCGAGGCTTCCCGCCCCTCCCTTCCTCGGCCTCCCCCTTCTCCCTGGCCGCTCGCGCAGCGTCTCGGCACTCGCTATATAAAGGGGCGAAGCGAGCGGAGCGGGCGGCTGGCTGGCTGGCTGGCGGCTGCAGCCCAAGGGCCGCCGTCTGAGGGCGGTCCGGTGATATAGAAACTTTTAAAAAAGCGGGAGCGGCTTCGTAAGGGGGCTCTGAGGCCGGCTGAGGAAGGAGGGGGGCCGGCTGGGGAAACAACAACAACAAGAAACAAACCCGAGGAAGGGGGGGGGGTTGGTGCTGCCGCCTTGAACGGTAGATTGCTTTCCCTCAGGAAAGGGCCATGGCGAGCTCGACTAATACAAACCCCGTGGTAAGGAAGGAAGGAAGGAAGGCGAGGCGGGAGGAAGGCCTCAGGATGGCGCGGGAGAGGGGCGGGAAGGGGGACTGGGGACTGGCTGATCTGCAGGGCGGGAAGGAAGGAAGGAAGGAAAGCAAGAAGGAAGGAAGGAAGGGGAGCTGCCCCGTGGCCTGCTTGGCACCCAAGGACGGGAGTGGAGGAGAAGAGTCGCCTAGTTGCCCCCTTTCCCCTTCCTTTTCCTCATGTGTGTGTTTATAACCCAAGCATGGGCCAATTTGGGCCCTCCAAGTGTTTTGGACTCCAACTCCCATCATTGCTAACAGCCTCAGGCCCTTTCCTTTTCCCCTCAGCCGCTTAAGCGGCTGAGGGTGAAAAGGAAGGGCCTGAGGCTGTTAGATGATGGGAGTTAGAGTCCAAAACACTTGGAGGGCCCAAGTTTGCCCAGGCCTGATATAACCCAATTTGCTCCCCTTTTAGCCTCTTCTGCTGGACGCCAAGGTTGAAAAGCACTTTGAATTCTCAGCCCGGCAGAGCAATATTTCCCTCTGAAGAAACCACTCTTTGGTCCGTCCAGTGATGACTTTATTCATCTTACCCCCCTTTTCCCTTTTAACCCCCCTTTTTTTCTATAACTCTGTCCAATAGTGATGGCTTTATTCATCTTATCCCCCTTTTCCCTTTCAACCCCCCCTTTTTTTCTATAACTCCCTCCCTTTTTTTATTTTACTGAGGCCCCTTCCACACTGCTGAACATTTTTGTTTTGAACTGCCAATATATGGTATTGTATATCTCAGTTCAAAGCAGATATTGTGGGATTTTCTGCCTTGATGATCTGGGTTATATGGCTGTGTGGAAGGGCCCTGGATGAAGAAACCACTCTGTGCTGCTATTCATCGTCTTGTCTTTCTTTCCACTCCTTTACTAGATGCGGGCAGTTCAGTATTTGTCTTCCCATCTCCTTTCCCCCCCTCTTCTGAAGAAATCACTCTTTCCTGTTGTTTTGTCTTCATCTTATTTCAGGCCCCTTTTGTATCTCTCTCTCCCCCCCTCCAATTTTCTTCTTTGAACTGGGATATATGGAAGTGTGGACTCAGATAACACAGTACAAAGCCGACATTGTGGGATTTTCTTCCTTGATATTCTGGTTTATATGGCTGTGTGGAAGGGGCTCAGTCTGTCTTCTCTTTCTTCAGTTCATCTTCTTCCTCTCTTTTCTTTCTTCAATTCAGTCCAGTATTTCTTTTTTTCTTCTAAAGGAATTCATTTGTTCCCCCCCCCCCTTTTCTGATTTTATTTATTCATCTTTATCATTTTTACACACTTTGTTTCAACTGTTTCTTTCCCTCATCTCTCTTTTTTTTAATTTACGGAGGAGGACTCATTTTTCTTCCCGGATTCCGCCCCCCCCCCCCCCAACCACGGCAATCAAATGCTTTTTTCCTTTCCCTCACCCTTTTATTTGTAAAGAAAGCCACTCTTTTCTCTACCAGTTATTGTATTTATTTTCCTGTTGATTACCAGGCACACTTTTAAGGATCTTGGTTTCACATCGGTTTGCAATAAGCAGTCACACGAAAGAAAGAAAGGAGAGAAAAAATACCCTGCCCCTCCCTGATTTTTTTTATTGTATACTACATTTAAAGAAAAAAAATACAATCTAAACTGAATGCACTTTTTTAAAAAAAGCCCTTTCCAATTCCCCCCCTCCCCCCCTTGCAAAATAAATTGCTGCTTGACAAACCCTTGAGTCCAGGCGGCTCTCATTTTGTGTTCTGAGATCCATCATGGCTTCCCCTTGCTTTTCTCTCTCCCTGCTCCTTGTGTTCCTCCTCCCTGTGGCTGCCCTGTTTATATAGAGCCATTGCCGCTCTCTAATATAGACTCTGCCAGGATGGGAAGGTGCTTTCCAGCCCCACGTCACCGCCTCTCCATTTAAACACCAGATCAGCCTTTAAATAGGGAGAGAGCTGCGGAGAGCAGGCTGGGAGGTGCCTGCGCAGCACAAGCAGAGAGGCTGGGAAAGCGCTCTCTTTGTCGCTGGGAAGCTGCAGCATTGCACTATTCACAGCAGCAGAGCTTTTCTATTTGAGTTGGTGTGTTGTGAGCTGGTGCTCTGTTGATTTTATTTGCAGTTCTTCTACTTGGACACCCGTTAGCTTTCCTTATTTGTTTCGCTTAAAGCATTTTTTGTGTTGTGCTTGTATGCAGTGAAACAAATGTAAGTGATTGGGTGACTATAAGAACTAGAAATTGCAATCTTGGCTAGTAAATGTGTTATAAAAACATTTCAGTGGTCAAAGTCATCTATTTATTGATGTGTAATTTTTTTACTGAATTATCTGTGTGTCCTGAAGAGCAATATGAAAAGAAAGTGGTCAGATTTCTCATCATTGAGATGTTGAGGCTTGATCTGATTCCTAAACTAGCAGAAAGTGCTGAGACAGTGTCTAGTTGAAAAGAGTGGTACTAAACTGTTCTTAATACTGGCTATTTTTTGAATTTCAGTGCTTAGTCCCACTGATATTAATTGGACTTGACTGAATTAGAACAGATTACTTTGGTTTAAATTGTGATTTCTAGGTTTTGAGGGATTAAAAGGCAAGAACTTGGATGACGTTTCTGCTGCAAGAGTTATTACAAATATGTAAAATACTCTCTTGATATATTATAATCTGTCACAGAAATGCAGAATGAATTTAGCATATCTAATGATTTTCAAAGTCGAAGAGCTAATACTCTTTAAAACATTACACAATGAATTCTCATATTTTTAAGATAAAATTTTAAGAAAATAAATTTCTCTAAAGATTAGGCTTGTAACAGTAGTTTGAATTCTACAAGACCTCAGTGAAATTACTTTTTGAAATTAATTTGCAGTACTGAATAATTTGTTAACAGAGGTTCTTATCTATCATTTTTTAAAAGCCTAAACTGTATAGATCAGTAATTGAAGATGTTATCAATGATGTCCGAGAAGTCTTTCTGGATGCAAGTGTTGATGAGCAAGTCCTTGTGGAACTAAAAACAGTAAGTTATATTAATTTAAAATTACGGAGATTGTTTGTGCATAAAACTTACTAGCCTTGTAAGGGCTGTATGTTGCTGCTAGTATTTATATAACATGTAATTGAGAACAGTTGATTTCCATTTTTGGAAACCCTGTCTATAGACTCGTAGTCCAACTCATCTGTGTGCCAGATCGATGAAGAGTGATTTATAACATCCCCATAACGGAAGTTATCTTATACAAATTGCATCTGGTAGTGCCTCATCTAAAGCTTTTGATAATACAGTGTTTCAAAAAGAGAGACCTGATTTGAAATTGCTGTTTCTCTGCAACCACAGACCACCTATGAATAAAACCCTTACCTCTTGAAAGGGTGGGGCACCAAGTTTCAAATGATTATCGTTAGATGCCCTTCCCAGTGAACAAACAGCCCCTACCCTTAGTCATTCGCAAGACAGTGACCCCTAATGAGATATTCTCCATTTGCACAGTTATTTTTAAGATTTGTTTTTGGCCCAAAATGATTAGTAAAACTTGGCAAGTAAATAAACACTTTCCAACATTTGTCATGTTGCCATCATGAACTATACTGCTTTGAAATTATGTCCATAATTTCACCCTGTACTTTAGGATGAGATGAGATGAGATGACTGTTATGTAACATTTTCAAAAATGAAATATTCAGATCATGTTTTGTGATTTTCATAATTTTGGTCACACTGTCTTCCTTTGAATAAGTAATTCTGTTAAGTTTATTACATGGTCAGAGACTCATTAATACAAAAGGCAAAATACCAATATCATTCAAACATATACAATACACATTTAAAAACACATTGAGATAAAGATGAAAACATGAAATGGAATTAAGGATGAAGAATCTTCAGAGACATTTCAACAGAGAAAAAGAAACTTTGCCACTAAATCTGTCAAGTTCTTTGTATCCTTTCAGAATGTTTCTTCACAAACATTTTCTTTCTCACTTGCGCAAAATTTAATGCTCATTTGTCTGCTGGAATCAAATAGCATAGATAGCTGTACTTTGTGTTGAGTTACATCTTTTTGTCCAAAGAGCCAGTACTCATTTCCCCCACTTTTTTGGGTAACCAAAAGTGTAGCTTCTCCTTCTGAATTATCTTGCAAAGTCAGGCCTGATAGTCTTACTTTGCACCCCAGTATTGCAGGAAAAGGATGTAAATGAATCTATCACAAGCATGAGAAAACTTCGGCCCTCCAGGTGTTTTGTACTTCAGATCTCACAATTCCTAACAGCTGGTAAACTGGCTGGGATTGCTGGGAGTTGAAGTCCAAAACACCTGGAGGCCCAAAGTTTGCCCATGGCTGAATCACTATCAGATAAATGAGCTAACTTGCCTTTCTGGTGAATGGAAGTGTTTCACTATAGGGTTATTCTTTTCTGCACAGTCAAAAATTGTCTATTTTATAGAGGTAAGCTAGGTAAACTTCACAGGTATGTTTTGGATATAACATTTTAGTTCAATGGCATTCCTTTCCTTCATCTGTGGAGGAAGCAGACTTTACTGTGGTTTCTCTGCCAGCAATCCAGCCTGCCCTTTTTTCTTGGCAACCTTTTGTGGAGGTGCTTTGCTGGTTCTTCTAAAATGCATTGTGACTTAATAATATGATGATAATAATGATAATTGTATCACCTGCCTCTCATTGCAGCTTGAGGTGAAGTACGACAGAGTTAAAACAAGAAATAAAACACAAAACAATTAAAATACATATAACAAGTTAGTTAAAAGTGTCAGTGTAATGTCAACATAAACACAAAACATACCTATTTACAATCCTCCCTTTCCTCATTCTGTAGAGAGACGTTGCTCTTTACGAGAGATCCCAATAGTGCATCAGTCAGTAAGGAATCAAAGCAATTTCCAAACAGAACACTTTGTTATTAACATCTATTCAATACACTATCTTCTGGAAAATAATAGGTATGGTTTATTGACTTTATTAAACTAGGGCTGTCTAGAGTTTAGCTTATGAAACCAGCTGTCCTCTTTTTTCCTTTATTCTTTGTTTTTCCAGAAGAAACTAAATTATTACCATATGGTTTAAAGATTACATATGTAGTCAGTGCAAATAGGGGTGAAATGGGAATCAAATGCATAATGCAGCTAAAGTGACAGGACCTAATTTTTCTAAGGCTCTGTGATTATTTCCCCTAGAAAGGAATATAATCTGAATAGTTCAGTCTGTCAACAATGTTGATGATGATGCAAACTGAGCAACTAATATGTATCAATGAAAAGAAAATAGCTTAGGATGCACTTCTTTAATCAATGCAGCTCTGGGAAAACAAACTGCTCCAGTCCAAGGCTGTAGATGGATTTCATTCAGAGGAACAGCAGCTTTTGTTGCAAGCACAACAGCAACAACAACAGCAGCAACATCAGCAACAACACCAACATCATCCACCACAGCAACATGTCCATCATCACCATCACCCACCACAGCAACAACAACAAACAGTTCAGCAGTCCCAGGCACAGCAAGTCCTTATTCCTGCTACACAGCAAGGTAAAGTTGGTCCTGAAAAGGTCTCATTTCTTTGTATGGTTGGTTGCATACTGCAAATCACTTCTGGTGTGAGAGAATTAGCCATCTACAAAGACGTTGCCCATGGGATGCCCAGATGTATTACCCTCTTGCGGAGAGGCTTCTATCATGTCCCTCTCATGTTGAGAAGAGCAAACCACAGATCATTTACTACAGTGCAGTTTGAGCCCTGCCACATGCACAATAAGGACCTTCTTATAGCGACGCCAGAAGTTGTCGAAGTGGCCAGCTTCTGGTTAAAGAAAATCTAGTATAATGCCAAGTTTTTAGCTTCGTTTGTAGCTTTTAATACATTATAACTAGTCTCAATTCACTTCTGATACGACAAATAAATAAATAAGTAAGGTAAGAAGCAGCCATATTTTGGGTCTGTTAAGGTTTTGTGTTTTGTTTTTTGGGGTTTTTTTTGTATGGCAGGCCATTTGGTCAGTAAAGCAAAGGGGTTTAAAGAATAGATAGGTAACATTCATAATTAATAGGACTGGAGTCTTGGGCTTTTGAAATGGAAGGCCTTTGCATCAGCTTGCTCAGTGTAGGGTAGACCCAATATACCTTACTGGCTTCTTGTCTAAAAAAACCCACTGGTCTAAAAAAAGAATTTTTAAAATGATTGTGAGGCCTTTTGCTCAGAGTGGTTGGATACATTCTTTTCCATGTAGTATAATGTAAAGGATACACAGTGACATACTGTTAGTGACATACTTTCAGTTTTGCCTGTGTATTGGATGTTTTGATCATTGCAGAGGGAGGAATCCACTATCAACGACATAGCACAGGGTTTGCCTTCTTCTTGCAAACTGTCCCTCCCATTCAGCCACCATTTAATGGCTGGTTGAATGCAGTCCTATTTAAGACGCGTCTAGCTATGTCGCCATGGGCAAAGGCGGAGTAACAGAGGCATTGCCCAAGACCTCCTAGTAATCTTTGAAGGTCCCAGAGGATGCTGTTTTGCATCTGTCTATGGAACCATAGCCAGATGGTTCTTCAAAGTGCCTACTTTCCATCACCCACTAAATGGCTAGAAGAGAACGCAGGAAGATGATGAAAGGGAGTAGGCAAATGTATCATAGGTAGGTCTCCCAATATAGAATTTTAGCTGTTACTATTTAGTAAAATTAATGTAACAAAAACACCCACTTCTTTTGAAAGCATATGAGTAATTATAAACCTTATGTAATGAATGTGATAGCATCCTTTCAAAATGTTGAAATTTATTAGGATTTTTTTTTCTATTGGTGTATGTATTTATGGTCACAATATGAATAGTTGAACAGCCTCATTTGAACAAAATAATACAGTAAGTTGTGGCAAAGTATCCTGTGATCCCCAGCACTGATTATGTCTTCTGTGTTTTAGCTCCTCAACAACAAGTTATTGTGCCAGATCCCAAGCTAATGCACATGAATACATCAGGCATGGTAAGAGGATATGATACATTGAAGCCATGTGTATGAATAATGTTTATGAGTAAATTCTGTCTACACAAAGGAAGAGCTCATTCTAGTCACAATATTTTATTGTAGACATTTTTATTTATATGTTTTGTAAAGTCTAATTGAATGGCACTCAATAATAGTTTAGGGGAGGAGCTGCTCAACTGGAGAGATCCTGGGCCTCACTAAATTAAAAGCCCCTGAATTCTGCAGAAGGCAGCTACAGGGTTTTAGATGGGATGCATATTCTTTGCCTACTCTTTAAGCTCTAGTGCATAAGACCTACGGAGTTACTGTTCTGCGTTATTTTTTTACTGAGTTTGAAAAAGTGGTTGATGGTCCCTTACACAAAATGCTTGAGATCAGAAGTGTTTCCTATTTGGGATTTTTTCAAATGTTGGAATACTTCCATATACATACCAATATCTTGTAAATGGGACCCAATTGTAAAAATGAAATTCATTTATGCTTTATATATACCTTATACACATATCTTGAAGGTATTTATACACCATTCTGAACACTAAATTCATTTATGTTTTATATATATCTTATACACACATATTTATATACAATAGTCTTAACTTTAATATGTTTATGAATGAAACAGAGTTTGTGTACATTGAACCATCAGGAAGCAAAGGTGTCACTTTCTCAGTCACCCATGTGAACAATTTTTGGATTTTGGAGTATTTTAGTTTTTGGAATTCCAGATGAGAGATACGCCAAAAGTCATTCAAGATTGATATGTAATTCAAGTAATTGACAAGTAATTCAAGATTGATATGTGGAAGAAGACCATCAGCATTCTGATAAATAAAGGATTACCAGACTCAAAGGTTCTGCTCTTCATATCTGGATTTCTCTTTCAGTGTGGCTGTATTATATATTTCTGATGCTAAAATTAATTCCTTACATTTTAGAGTGCTGCTGCTACTGCAGCTACCTTGGCTTTGCCTGCTGGTGTTACTCCGGTTCAGCAGATACTGACAAATTCAGGTAATAGTTCTGTTTTCTGTGTCAGATTCATTGGCATAGTGGTGTAATTATGCCAGTGGGGTAACCTAAATTCTGTTGTTAGCCCTAAGTGGAGGTGAAGCACTGAATCATTTATCATAGTGTTGACTTACAATTCAAAAAGTGATTTAATGAGTGTATTCTAGTGGACCCAGTTAGCAGGATTCCAGCCAGTACCCTAAAGCATTTTTTGTTTATTTATTACAAAAGATCAGTACATTTATAAATGCATACATAAAATCTGTGTAACAGAAAAATCTCTAAAAGTACAACTTCCGAAGAGTAGATGTGCCTTTTGTAACATCTTGAAGGATGATGCTGTTCCCTAACTTGTCTTTGGAAAAAGACTAAAAAATGAAATTGTTGCATTCAAATTTACAATTGTTGTCATACTGAAAGCAAGCTTTCTCTATCATCCCTCCCTCCTCTGACTGAGGCCCCTTTTATGCTACCATATAAAGTTCAGATTATCTGCTTTGAACTGGATTTTATGACAGTTACAACACCTGAATACAGAATGCTGGCAGAAGCTGCTGCTGTTGTCCAGGAAGTTGTCCTGGTATGGAGCATCAATGGGCCCCCTGGTGGCACAGTGGGTTAAACCGCTGAGCTGCTGAACTTGCTGACCAAAAGGTTGGCAGTTTGAATCTGGGGAACGGGGTGACTCCCGCTGTTTGGCCCAGCTTCTGCCAACCTAGCAGTTTGAAAACATGCAAATGTGAGTAGATCAATAACTAGCACTTCTGCGGGAAGGTAACTGCGCTCCATGCAGTCATGTTGGCCACATGACCTTGGAGGTGTCTACAGACAACGCCGGCTCTTCAGCTTAGGGCATCAGATTAATCAAGATGGTTGCCAGATAAACACAAGACAGAAAAGGCTAAAATAAATCTAAAATTTATAGATTATGATAGCTGAAACTCTGTTTTGGACATGTAGCTATGTTGTCATGCCTAGCTCTGTTTCCCACCTTTATTTGTGCCATGGTTCACTGATGGGAAGCAGCTGGACTTTTTTTTAGCATCCCACTAACCAGTACCACTGGACTTAATACTTCAGTGTGGCCATCTGTATTTAAATGTGGGTTTGGAGGACATTTCTTGTGGGGATGGTGCCTCTATCATAAATATGGATACCAACTAGTTGCAAGGTTGTAAGTGTAGCTGATAACATCATGACTGCCTAACGAGACACTGGACAAGGTTTATAAATATAATATTTTGGGCTATAGTAATCTACCTTGTATACCATGCTGGGGAGAAATCCCATTGTTTGAATGACTGGCAGGGCATATGTGGAAGCACAATCCAGTGGGAGTTCCTGCTTCACAAACTGGATGCCCCTGTAAGCAAAAGAGTAGCATTTCTGCAGCGCTTAGAATTGCTTCTCATTTGTTATGAATAAGATACGGGAGGTATGGGGGACTGGATTATGTAAATTTCATATCTGCAATTTACATAATTCCCTATACAAATCTTTTTGTCTACGCATGATCTACTGTGGAGAAATGAATTTGAATCACAAATATACTTTGTTTTTAACACTCCTGATTCCATGTGTCCAATGCATACCAGTTGTTGCAGGAATTTGCTTTTGGGAAAGCAAACTTCATTAAATATCCAAAATGGGTTCATTTTATTGCAGGCCAAATTCTACAGGTGGTTAGAACTGCTAATGGTGCTCAGTACATCATTCAGCCCCAGCAGCAAGTTGTCCTGCAGCAGCAAGTAATACCACAGATGCAACCTGGTGGGGTGCAGTCACCTGTTATTCAGCAGGTAAGATTGTTTTTAAAAAGTGTTTTTACTTTGCAGAATTTCTGAACATACATGATTTTCTGTGGATTCAATACTTGTTCTATCTACAGCCTAGCCCCATTTCTCTTCTTTGTCCCTTAACTCATTTTTCCTTTCTTAAAATGCATGTTTATATCATTTTAGAATGGATTAGACTCCTTTGTCCCTGCCTTCTGGACTTAGTCTCTTTTCCATTTTCCMCCCCCCCCCCTCCCCTTTCAAAGTCATTTCCTTGTTGAGTAATCTTTCTGTTCCTCGGCCTGGAAGTGAGGATCCTTCCTGCTTCTTAACTTTCCCCCTTCCTCATCAGGCACTAGGAGTTTCTGTGTTGCATGTAAAAGCTCTTTATTTTAGTTCTTAGGATTATTTGACCCTGAGTGTGTCTGAAAGGCAACCTTCCCTCCGATTGTAAACTTAAAATCCTTTTAAAACAGCATCTCGTAATGCAGTGTTGCCTCAGAAATTAGTGCCATTGGGTTTAGTGGAACACTCCTGGATTCATGGATATAGTAGAGATTAAAGCTTGAAAGACAAAGTGACCTTGGAAGGGGATCATCCTACTACATCAATTTTTCTCCTCACACACATCAGCTGATTTACCACATGCTTAAGCAAGTCTAACATTCACAGTGAGAGCTGTTGCTTTAATCTAAGAAATGATGGTTTCAAATATTGAAAGTTAAAGAAGCCTTAAAGGTGAAGGGATAACAAATGGTATCATGTTACATATACTGGAATTAATTTCTGATTCACGTGTAGTAACATAATTCATGTTGCTGGTAATTAACATTTAAAGCTAAAGCAGTTCTGGACTCTGATCTATTACTTGATTGAATACCTCTCTCTGTATATTTCTACCTCTCTCTTTATATTTCTCTGAGCTGCTTGAGTTACTCTTTTCTTCACCCCTCACTTCTTCATAGCTTACTGTGTGAGATGTGGAAAAGAAGCTTCCTTGCTATGGGACCAGTCCCTAGTTTAGCAATACCAACCCTTTTGATGTCTAGTTGGTGCTTGATAATATTTTAGAAACTTGCAGACTTAATAATTTTTCAGTATTTAGGAATGCAGTAACCACACCCTGGATTTGAAAAATCTTAGAAAAAAATGTGAAGTTTTCTTTTTGTTTCTTACCTCTTGTTGCAGTGAGGTCCTTGCCACTACTTAAGAAACACAAAACAAAAACAAGACTTGAGCTCTGCCCACATTGCATTTTTCTTTTCTAAGTGTTTTTCAGATTAGGCCGCATTCAGAAAAGGAATTCTCCATTGATGCTTAAATGCAAATATAAATTAGCAGTGCTACAGGAAACATGGTTTATGCAGTCTCATAAGATAGTCAAGGATTGTCTTGCTGTTATATATGTAAATACTATAAGTAAAACATTAGAAATGGTGACTGATGCAGTAATTACTTGTGCTTTCATTTTTGGACAGGTTTTGGCTCCCATTCCTGGAGGGCTCTCACAGCAAACTGGTGTGATTATCCAACCCCAGCAAATCTTATTTACTGGAAACAAAACCCAGGTAATCCCTACAACCATGGCTGCACCCACACAAGCACAGGCCCAGATTTCGGCGGCAGGGCAGCAGCAAGTTCAACAGCAACCAGCACAGCCGCAAGCACCTTTAGTGTTACAGGTGGATGGAGCAGGGGATACATCGTCTGAAGAAGATGAAGAGGAAGAAGAAGATTATGATGATGATGAAGAGGAGGATAAAGAAAAGGATGGAGGTGAAGATGGCCAGGTTGAAGAGGTAATGTTAATGTATTATCAATACTCTTAATGTGTGAATTATAACTGAATTGGCCATTACCTAAAAGAAAGTCTATACTGCTTTTGTGGACGAAACATGTATGCAGAACGTAAATGAATAGTGTTTATATTTATTCTAAGTCCTGGTCCTTTGAATGCTGGTACCATCTTCTGTTAGAGTGGCCTCAAGTATCCGTGTCCTTGGGTGAAACGTGAAGTTTGCAAAAACACAATAACAAAAATTGGAAGAAAAATCTATCTTAAAGTTCACAATTTTCTCACCTGAGGTCCTGAGATTACAAATAGCAGTGTTGTCTAATAAGCAGATCAATATTGTAACTCTCTTTAGAAATAATAATCTTTGCACTTTCAGGAAATGTATGTTATGGAAGAACAAGCATGTAATGCTATATTTCTTTTCCAAATTTATTAAATAACACAATTTATGCAGTTACACATAACGTATGGGGGATAGTTTTCATGTCACATAGAAGTGTAGGTACCTCCTCTTCCATTGACATTACCTGCCTCAGCATATTATCTTTCATAAACCTTGCGTTCTAGGTATACATTGCCCTATATGGAGCACTTCTCATATATCTTTTAATATTTGTACATTTCAGTGATCTTAAACAATATTGTATACATAAACATAGCTGTGACCATTGTTTTACTGAGCATTTCTAATTTCAAAGTGTTATTGCCTATTCCAAAAGCATAGAAGAAAGCTTATTCTCACTCTATAAGTATAGTACTCAGGGGGGGTCAGTCTTGTGATAAAGTGAGAATTATAATTATAATCTAACAGCTTTTATAGCTGTTTAACTTAGATGTATTTTCTATTCCTTGCTATCTCACTTTAGAAAATTTGCCTTTAAAAAAAGACTATTTCAAGAGGACTAAAATATTCAGTCTGACTTCCTGTCACATTTGTGTGGCATTTTCTTGTTGCTGATGCCTTCTCAGATGTTGATTCAGGGAATCTAAACTTCGTTTCCAAGGCAGACTAAAGAAACAGGTTCTTATACTGTTTTTTATATAGAGCTTCAATAGTCTCCCTTCAGTTTTCTTTTGATTTTGTGATCTTGATTTCTTTCCTCTGTTGTTCCCAACATTTTGAATATTCTCTTTGGCAAAACAGAAATGAAGCCTGAAACTTCAGGATGATTGTAAAATGGCAGGAAGTGTCCCACATCTGCTGCATATCCCCTCATAATTGGAGGAACACTCAGCAGGAAAACCTTTAGAGTGGCTCTTTCCTCATCTAAATTACATGTGGGAGAAGGTGGAGCCTGTAGAATAGCTGTGTTGTCATTATCCATGATTTGCATGTGGATGTGCAAATTTTAATAGAGTTGATAATGAAAATTGATTGTTTTTAGGAACCTCTCAATAGTGAAGATGATGTTAGCGATGAAGAAGGCCAGGAACTCTTTGACACCGAGAATGTTGTTGTGTGCCAATATGACAAGGTAATTGGACTAATATGATTGTTAAAACCTGCATGCCTTCAATACTCAAGTTTGTTCTGCAAAAAAAAGAAAAGCATATTTAAGAGGATACACTCGAGAACAGATTTGAGGGGTGCAATTGGGGGGAAAGAGCAACTTATTCTGTCAGCGCTTTCCAATCTTTTGGGAGATCCAACACCACTGGATGGAAGCTACTATTACTATTTTAAAATATTCAAACAGAAGATTGCAGGAATTATTTTATTTGTCTGGCTTTCTTCCAATATGGGACAAAGCAGGCTTTACGACATAGCTAAAAGCCTGTAATAACAAACAAATATTAAGAAGCATCCTGTTAAAAGCTATTTTAGTAAGAGCAAAAGGGAATGCCTTTTTTATCGTGCCTTTAAGGCCTAATTAATTTTATCCAAATCTGTACATGTACTTGTTTTGAAACTTATTAAATTGTTCAAATTATTTTTGAGTGTTTTAAATAAATGGGTTTAGACAATTTAATTATATGCTACCCTGAAATGAAATGAGATACAGATATTTTAATTAAAATAAAATTCGTCTCCAAGTGAGGTTCTTCTCTGCATCTCACCAATAGAAATGTGGTGAGAATGGAAGGAGGAGGGTTTTTTTTTCCGTGGCTGCAGCCAAGCTGTGAAGCTCACTGTCCTGGATTTACAGATGGCTAAAATGTGAAGAGATTTCTCTGCTAGCAGCTTTTGACATACTAGATTATTTCTCAGTCCTACCACATTGTTAGCAGAGTACAATTTAATTATTTTTTTTATAAAGAAGGAATTTATACTTACCCATATATACTCGAGTATGAGCTGACCCAAATATAAGCTGAAGCCCCTCATTTTACCACAAAAAACTGGGAAAAATTATTGACTTGAGTATAACCTAGGAAAATATAACCTGGGAAATACAGCAGCTACTGGTAAATATCAAAATAAAAATAGATACCACACGCCTTCCTCTCCTTTCTCGGCACAGAGACTGAGCTGGGTCACTGTGCTGAGAGGGAAGAAGAGGAAGGCATGCAGCTTTTCCTCTCCTCAACAGCTGTGCCGAGAGGAGAGACCAGGCCTGGTGAGAAGATGTGTGGCTGATGAGCTATTCAGCTTTTTCTCCTTTTGTCTCCACACACCAGCTGGGTTGCTGTGCCGACAGAGGAGGAGGCACACAGCTGGCAGAAGCCATGTAAAGGGCTTCTTTCCGCCCCACACCTTCCTACCAGGACCCTCACTCGAGTATAGGTGGAGGGGGCCTTTTCAGCATTAATAATGTGCTGAAAAACACGGCTTATACTAGAGTAGTGGTTCTCAACCTGGGGTCCCCAGATGTTTTTGACCTACAACTCCCAGAAATCCCAGATAGTTTACCAGCTGTTAGGATTTCTGGGAGTTGAAGGCCAAAAACATCTGGGGACCCCAGGTTGAGAACCACTGTACTAGAGTATATATGGTAGCTATTTTTGGCGTATAATATGGGAAGGTAAAGCAATATTTCAAAATAAGATGTCTATCTGTATCTTGGAAATGGACTTTGTCTCAGATTTTGTCCTGGCAGTTAGTGACCCTACTTTGGATGAAGCATACTTGGAATATTTGAAAAGCCTTTAGGCCCACTTGTAATACTTTTAGAATAAGCTTTCGTATTCATAAAAAAGGGCTTTTAATTGTTTTTTTGCAGGAAAGGTTACATATTCTATAGTAGCAATATAGCAACCAAAAAAGCACGTCAGTCTTTGGTTTCCAGTACATTGTTGTATGGATGGAGCAGCACACCAAATATTGACTTTTAGCCTGGTATGTTTCTCACTTTGACTCTCTAACCTCCACAGATTCATAGAAGTAAGAACAAGTGGAAGTTTCACCTCAAAGATGGAATCATGAATCTTAATGGAAGAGATTATGTTTTTTCCAAAGCCATTGGAGATGCAGAATGGTGAAATTTACACAAAACAAACTCAAAAGCAAAAAAATGGGAAAGGTTGAGATTTGGACATACACGTTGACAGAAATCTCTATCTGTGCGCCTGAAGGAACAGTAGAACTGAGACTACTAGGAGAAATGGCAATGTTGACACTACTTCAATTGGGAAAACTGGGGCATTGGTGCAGATAGCTATGCCTGAAAGCTGGTTTTGTATTAATATCTTAATTAACCAATTCTACCAATAGATAAAGAAATAACTAGCATGTGATGCTTAATCTCCCCTTCCACTGATTTGAAGGAACTCTCTTTTTTGGTAACAATACTATGGGAAAAGCTTAGTGTGTGTATGCGTATAAATTGTGCTGAACCATTCCTTCTCGGAGTGGAGTTGGAAAGAGCCTTGCTTAAACTGTTGAGAAAGTCTCTAACCAGTTGGTAAGGACAGAGTTGTCCAAGGTTTGGATTACTTTGGATGAGTAAACTATTTGGAAATTTCTTGTGCTGAGTCATTCATAATTTTAGCAACAGATTTAGGCCCTTTATATAAATTGTAATCCTGGTACCAAAAGATCTTGATTGTATCTCAAATGTAATCATTCTCAAGCTTTCATTTTTGAAAAAGGATGTTGTGCTTTAAAGAAACCCGTAAATGGAAGCTGTTTGGTTCCGATGTCTCGGTCTCCCTGCTGTCTTCCAAAAGGTCTTTAGAGGAAGATCGGACAAAGTGAATATACATTGAATTGTTGCTAGTCAGAACTCAATCTTCTGTAAATAATTTCACTGTTTAACTTAAGACGTATTTTTATTGCCATGTGAATGTACGCGGCTGGCAATGAAATCAGAAGTTGTAGGTGACTATGCACTTTGGAAAAGGGTCTGCAGCATTGAAAGAGCTTCCAACTTTCCCTCGGTAATTAAATAATGTTCGTAACATGAACAGAATCACAGTAGCTGTAATAATTGAACAAAGTCATAATTTAAACAGATAGCAGAAATTGGTTGTTGAGTAATTTCTCTTTGTTGCTGTGGCAAGGCTCTGTAGAAACTATGCATTCAGGAATCTAGGTTCGGTTCACTGTGGTGGGGTTTTGGCAAGTTGCAATTATATTGAAGGAAACATGCATTTCCAGATGGTATGCCATTGCAAGATCTAGTTGAAGTATGCCACCCACTTAACAGCAAAGAGAAGAAGCCATGAAGGGATGAGTTGACCAACGGAGTCTACAGAGTAGCAATTACTCACTTTCCCCTTTTCCGATATTTATGTTGTGAAAAACAAAACCTTTTTGGGGTGTTTTTGTTAAACAAAATTGCCAGTGCAATTTAATCAGAACTAAATACTATCTTTTTTTTCTTTTCCTCCCAAAGTATTTCTTTGCATTTCGATTCAAATGCATTCGTCTTGCTGTTCACAGGAAATCCACTGTACGTAGCAGTTAGGCTTTCTACATCCAGGGTCTTGGTGAAGGTGACCTAATTCATTGCTTTACTCGCAGTGGCATTCATAAGGCATCCAAGTCCCATATACTATGTAAACATCATGGCAGATTTTGAATTCTGTTTATCTTCATTTCTGACTGCAATCTTTTGATGGCAGAGGAGGTTTTTAAATCTAAAATTAAACATGTGTGGGCATCATTTTCCCATTGTGTAAAACATACCACTAGTTTACATGCCAGGTTTGTGACAACATTGAGATGGTTTGCCATTTCCCCTTCTGTACGTTGTGGCCTGTTCACAGTATCTTCTGGCCTTTTAGTTTGGTTAAACACAGGCTTAAAACCAGGCCAGAAATACTGCACTGTGAAATCCCTGTTGGTCACAGTTACCTATTTCTTACTGGAACCCAGACACTGTACAAATGACTGAGCATTGTGTACATAATGGGCACTGAAAAGCGCTGCTTGTCTCTTGCCTTTTTATTTATTTTAAAGGAAACCACAGCTTTAAAAGTGACTTAGGTAGGTCTGTCTGGATGCAGGCGTGGTGTCTTGTGAATCGATTATGGGATATGTGCTTTGGTTGATGAGGAGGGTGTTCGTGAAAGGACCGAGAAAGTTCTTCTCAAAGCCAGTCACATACCAAACTTGTGCTCTTACTTGCTTCAAGTGTTCCTTTTTTAAAATCAAAAAGCATGTTTTTAATTTCATTTTATCGTAGCAGCTTGCTATAAGAATATAGTTTGCTTACACTTATTATTGTACTTGAATTTTAATCATGGTTTTAACAATGTAATTCAGCAGATCGTTTTGTTAAGTTTCCATTGAAATCATCATTCCTTTGGGAAGGCAAGGGATTCCCACAGTTAGTCCTTCAGCTATATGTATACTTGATTTTGTTGTTGCTTAGGCGTGAAATTAGTTTCCATTTAAATAGTTCAGTATCTTGACTTTCTGAAGCAATTAACGGTTTGCAAGAAGGGCTTATGTTTAGATTTGCACAGATAACAGGAGCACCTTTTTAAACTTTTAAGATGGAGAAAGCAACTTCTAAAGACTTGAGACAATGGGAGATTTACAAGTGATACACAAAGGTGAGGGTCTTGTGCCTTTGCAGTCTTCAGATATTTCTGTTTTGTGGTAGATTCCCTACAGAGCTTCAAGTGTAACTTAACATTTTGAGTGTAATCTTACTGGTTTTCTAGAATGTGCAATCACTTGAAACATCTATGTTAAATCTTGCTTTTAAGGCTTTGGATACTGTCATGAAGAACTTTATATTGGGCTATTTAAAGTTAAAGTGTGTAAGGTGTCTTCTCACCCCACCCCCTCTTCTGGCTCTGTAGTGGCAGTCTTAAGTTTTTATCTCCCTTGCTCCTCTCCTATATTGGAGTCTGCTTTTTGTCATTTCCCTGAACATGAATCATGATTTCACAAATAGTTGCCATTTTAGCTGTCTTCTCAAGAAGATTGAAGCACAGCTGCCACAAAAAGCAAATAACATGTAACAATTGATATAACCGAACTCCAGTGATACTTTTAAAAGTTGATAGCACCACTGGGTTTTTTTGTTTCTGGTCTTTATCCACACACTGAACAGCAATAATCCCTATAGAGTAATTACTATCACCACTGAAAAAACTCTAGTTCTAGTGCAGAAGGCAAAAATAGTCTTTTCACAGTGAAATGCTTGCTCTTCTGCTTGACAACAAGCCCTCTTGCCTTGATTTTTCTAAAAAAAAATCAGATATAATTGGTTGTGTGTAACTCCATAGCATACTTTGTTCTGTCTTATACACATTTTTAAACTGAAAGGAGCTAGAGCAGGCTTGATCTGAATTAAATACCCATTTTTAGAAAATAGAAGAATCGGATGCTGAGAAATTAGTTTTCTTGGCTGTCACAAGACCATTTGTTTGTTTGCAGAGCTTTCCTTGATTTGGATTTTAGAAAATGAAACATTTTTTCAGAGTGGATTAATATACGAAGGCTGCCCTTGAGTCGGAGTATCACACATTCATTTCCTCCTGTGTGCCTATGGTACCAAAACAATATAGGGGAGTGGGAAATATCCTTAGTTGCTGTTCTGAGCTACAATTGTCAACTGCTGTTGTACATATACTGTTCTGTGTAAGGGGGTAAATATATTTATTATGTTTGTAAAATTCTGTGTGTACAATTGAAGATCAAGGATCAAGGACTTCCTGGGATGTACACGATGTGTTTCAAAGACCATGCTTGGAACGCAATTAGAAAACTTAGTATTTTGATGTACTAAGACCTATTTTAAGTTTAATATTTTGCCTTTGCAAAAAATTAAAGATGTTATTTAAAATAAGCTTGCCACTTTTATTTACTACTTTGTGTATTAAAATACCTTTATGTGTAATCTAGTTGTGTTTACTATATGATGTCCTTAACACAGATGATCAGCACAGCATATACCAGTATTATGCTAAAAGAGTTGGACATATGTAGGGCTATGTTTAGGTCTAGTCCCAATTGGAATAAATCTATTGAATCAGTGGGACAAAAGTTGTATTAATCAATGAGTGAACAGACTGTTTTAATTCACATGCAGCACATATGATATAGTGGATACTATAGGTTACCTCCTATGCATCACTATTATAAAGAAATAATAGTGTAAGCAAAAATTGCATTTATATTCTACCTTGGATTCACATTGAGTCTCAAAGAAAGACAGCTTCAAACCTCCTCTGAACAAATTGCCAAGAAAGCTCTATCAGATTAGCCTTAAGATGGTCATAAATTGAGAATGATTTGAAGGCATACAGTGACTAATTTCGCTGAAATAGGGGATGTTATTGAATGAAGGATGCAATTTTTTTTCAGATATGCAAATTCACCCTGTAGTGATTTCCCTTCCATATACTTCCCTACATGTTAATTTCTCTATGTCAAAGTTTGCACAATGGGCAAAGAACTAACACATTGGAGGTAAAATCCCTGGAGCCTAAAGGGCAAACTGGAAAGTTTTCCCAACAAATTGTGACAAATACACCCAAGTCATATTTTCAGAAATATCGTAATCTTTAAAGTGGAGATCTCCTTTTCCCCTCTAAACCTACACCTCTAGATGGCAGCAAAAGTGCAAAGAAATTGTCTGAAGAATTAAAAGAGTAAAAGTGAAGTTTAAACACGAGGAGATGTTGAGTGGTCTGAAGAATTGATACTACAGTTACTGCACTTGTTTTTAGCATAGATTTCAAAAGGAGTTAGTAATTTATGCTTCTAACATTCAGAACTTCATTTGAGCATTCCACCAGAGAAATTAAGAGATATGAAGGACTAGAAAATGAGATATTTTAGCTTTGTTTAAAGGCCACTCCTCAACCGGAAAAAAATTGTTACGCATTTTCTTTTACAATGATGCAAAATGTTTTTAAGACAAGATGCTCATATATTGCCTAGCCAAAAATCATTTTTAAAGGCCATATAAGTAAACATAAAGGTAAAGGTTTTCCCCTGACATTAAGTCCAGTCATGTCAGACTCTGGCAGTTGGTACTCATCTCCATGTCTAAGCCGAAGAGCCGGCGTTGTCCGTAGATACCTTCAAGGTCATGTGGCTGGCATAACTGCACAGGGCGCCATTATCTTCCTGCTAAATCAGTATCCATTGATCTCACATTTGCATGTTTTTGAACTGCTAGGTTGACAGAAGCAATGGCTAACCACGGGAGCTCATGCCACTCCCCAGATTCGAACCTACGACCTTTTGGTCAGCATGTTTAGTAGGTCAGTGCTTTAGCCCACTATGCCACCAGCGGCTCCATATATCTATATAAACACAAATGTAATGTTCGTTTGTGGGATTAACATAACAAAAACCACAACCAATTGACACAAAATTTGGACACAATACACCTATCAGGCCAACAAGTGACCATCACTCCTAAAAACACTGAAAAACAGCAGAAGGGTCTTTAAAAGCCAAAAAATAAAATAAAAAATACAATGCATCACAAAACCACATATATAAATGCAAACACACATATATACACATATACACAAATATATACACCCACAAAACACATATACAGAGACTGGGCCACAGCAACGAATGGCAGGGGACAGCATGCATAGAGAGAGAGAGAGAGAGAGATGTAAGCAAAGCTATATATAAAATGAATTTTATATTCCCAAAGTAAAATCCTGTTTTCCCCAAAGCATCAACATTTCCTGAAAGTGTGCATCACTAGGAGTTACTCTTCCCTAACAAGGACTCCAACAAGACACTTATTTTCTACCCAACTTTCTCCAGTGCAGTGTAAGAAACAAGACATTTGAAGAGTTAGTAAGTGTGCATTTTGGCAGGTACAGGTGAAATGATAAGTGAGAAAACTCAATTATGATGTGAGTTGCTAAACTCCAGGACAGCTTTTTCCAACTGACAGGTTTCTGATGATTTGTACAACCACCATCCACAAATAAGAATCATGCTATGAGCCTTGTAGTTTATTTGGGGAAAAGTTCCAAGTTGGGATATGTGTATGTGTATCTTCAAGTCACCTGTTGACTTATGGTGGGAAGGCAACTTTAAAACAACAGAACAAACACCTTTAGTGAGTCGGAATCAAAATGTGCCCTTTCATGTAATTTGTGACAACCTTAATGTAGATCTATCTACATTCCATGGGTTCTCTTCTGGATAATAATGTTCCAGCAACAAATCAATTAATTTTAATGAACCAATCAAAATATTTCAGTTGTATGTGTTAGTGACAATTAATTACTCTGAATTTCCTAAGGTTAATATTAATAAATTAATTTGCAATCCAGATATTGCAAGCGCTCTGTTGGGAAATGCTCCAAACTCTGTTGGGCACTTACCTCTTCCATCAAACAATATTGATTTCTCCTCCCATATTAGCTATATAATGTATTGTCAATTGATAGGAAATATATAATTCATTTCCTCATGCTTTGTACAGTTAGTAGGCATGGACAATCCATGGTTCTAAAGTACTTACAAAACTAGAGGGTGCTGGTGCTTTGCTTCTAAAGTGTTTTGTTAGAGCTCTGAAATTTTCACCACCAGAACTTTAGCAACACTTAGGAAGCAAAGCACCAGCGCCACCTAGTTTTGTAAGTACTTTAGAGCCATTATTATTGTCCTCCCAACCTTGCTATATGCCTGCAAAATGTAGACTATCTACAATGCTGTTACAGAAGGCTCCAAAGCATGTCCTGCAGAGGCACAGCTAATTCATTTGTGTGAGTCACAGAGACCGCAAAGGATTTTCTGTGTGAGGTTCTGCCTGGAGTGGCATCACTAGGAGTGGTGTCACCCAGTGCAGTAACTCATGGTGTCAGCTCCCTCAACTGGGCAGGTGGTGCATGGGAGGCAGGGAGGGAGGAGTCAACCTCCCCCCAAAAAAACTGAGACACACCACATGGTAATGTCATGGAGAATATCTGAGGGAGTGTGAATGACTTTGAGAGTCACCAAAAACCTACAAGTGGAGGAGGAACAAGAAGAAATGCTTGCTGGCTGGACATGGTACTGGGGACATAAATATAATAAATATCTACTGAATAGTTGTGAATAATTGGTGCTATCCACTCTGATGGTTTCACCCACTGTGAACTGCACCTCCCAATGCCCCCACAAAGCAACAACACTGCCTCTACAAACAACAAAAGTACGCTTCTTTTTCAGATACATGCCAGAGGCCAGGGTTGTGTGGCCTTCCAAATGTTGCTGGACAGTAATCAATATAGCAAGAATGAAGCGAAGCAAGGGGTACTGTTGTGTATTTTAAAAATACAAAGTTTAAAAAACCTTAGCATTATATTAAATGTCCTTTGACCAGTAGCTAGCCACTTGGAGTGTCTCTGGTGTTGCTATAAGAACGTCCTCCATGGCAGGACTCAGATTGCATTGTAATAGGTGGTCTGTGGTTTGCTCTTCTCCACACTCATGTTATGGACTCTACTTTGTGGCCCCATTTATTAAGGTTGGCTCTGTATCTCGTGATGCCAGAGCACAGTCTGTTCAGTGCCCTCCAAGTTTGCCCAGTCTTCTGTGTGCCCAGGAGGGAGTCTCTCATTTGGTATTAGCCATGGGTTGAGGTTCCAGGTTTTAGCCTACCACTTTTGGACTCTCACTTGCTGAGGTGTTCCTGAGAGAACCTCTGTAGATCTTAGAAAACTATTTCTTGGTTTAAGGTGTTGGCATGCTGGCTGAGATCCAATCAGGGGATGGGCCAGAGATGTCAATATCTTGATCCTTTCATTATTGGCTGCTACTTCCCAGCAGATGTGGTGCAATACTGCCTAATCAGTGTAATTTCTCCAGTGGTGTAGGGTGCAGACATCCTGTGACAATGCCACATGCCTCACTAAGAGCCACAACCACTGTTTTAGCGTGGTGAAATGTGTTCCACACTCGGTATGCATACTCAACAGCAGAGTAGCAAAGCACAAAGGTAGATGTCTTCACTGTATCTGGTTGTGATCCCCAGGTTGTGCCAGTCAGCTTTCATATGTTATTGTTACTAGCACCTACTTTTTGCTTGATATTCAAGCAATGCTTCTTGTAAGTCAGAGAATGGTCCAGGGTAATTCCCAGGTATTTGGATGTACTGCAAAGCTCCAGTGGGATTCCTTCCCAGGTAATCTTCAGAGCTCATGATGCTTGTCTGTTCTTAAGGTGAAAAGCACATGTCTGTGTTTTAGATGGATTAAGAATCAGTTGGTTACCTCTGTAATAGGCAGTAAGAGCACCTTTGGAGATCTTCTGTTCAACCATTTCAAAGCTGCCTGCATGAGCGGTGATGGAACAGTCATCAGCATAGATAAGTTCTCTGTCCCTTCTCACAGTGGCTGATCATTTGTGTAAATGTTAATCATTGATGGAGCAAGCATGCTCCCCTGAAGCAGTCTGTTCTTCTTTTCGCCATCTGATTGAAAGAGTTGTAACCTAACAATATTTGAAGACCTATTTCCTTTTCCTTATGCTTACTTTGATCCATCACTAATTTAGTTAATGGCTCATAAATAACAAAAACTATGGTAACCATGTGGGTGCATAATTTTTTTTATAATTCCACATTAATAAAAATTTACACGGACAACGTGTATACAAATTTGAGTCCCAAACCAATGAAAAAAATAGATTTTTTTCACATTCATCTTTAATTTCTTTACCATCTCTGTACACATATATGATTTTTTCAGTGAACCTATAGAAATTAGTTTACATATGTTAAAAAGACTGACATGAAGATACAGCCTTTTCTGAAAATAAATTAACATAGATGGATTCCTACGTCAACTTACAATTCTAAGCAAGCACAAGATAACGTTCCTGTCCATTTAGTACAGAGTAACACAAAATATTTTCAGATATGCCCACAATCAACAGTTCAAATGAACAAACCACTTGCATGAGGAGTAGCAGCAATTCACATGGAAGGACTCTGTTCATGACCAACATTTATCTTTACAGAATTGGAAAAAATATGCAAAAATAGCCAAGCTGGCCAGTATCAAAATCCATACTGGTGTGAAATTTTCATCAAACCATCTAAAGTGCACAAAAAGTGTGAAAACATTTATCTAATTAAATAAAATCTTATAAAAAGCAATTCAGAAAGAGGTGCAGATAAATGCTTCCCACTTGCACCCCATTTTTGGTGAGCCAAAGAGTCTCTACAGAGAAGAAGTAAAACACTTTCTCTAAAATTGGGAATGTCAGCATAATTTTAGTGCTAGGTACTGCTATACCAATGATAACTTAGTTAAGTTACTTTTCTCTCCTTTTTTTAAAGGGTCTTTAAAAAACAACCCCAGATTGAAGATAATATGCAGCTGAACATTTCATCTGTCATGACTGGCATGTAGGTTCTGAGCAAGCAGGCAAAAACTCAGTTTCTGAATTGCTATAGACCTGTTGGTAAAGAATAAATAATAAGACCACAGTTATTCAGGAACTGAACTTCTGTCATGTTTTTAGGAGCCAGGTGTTTGTGGTAGCCACTTACACTATCATCAGAAAGTGATAACATCAAAAGAGCTGGCATGAAAACAAAGCATGTGCTAATACCAGATTTCACCGAATCTAGAATCATAGTATCATAGAGTTGGAAGAGACCTCATGGGCCATCCAGTCCAACCCCCTGCCAAGAAGCAGGAAAATTGCATTCAAAGCACCCTCCGAAAGATGGCCGTCCAGCCTCTGTTTAAAAGCTTCCAAAAAAGGAGCCACCACCACACTCCGGGGCAGAGAGTTCCACTGCTGAATGGTTCTCACAGTCAGGAAGTTCTTCCTAATGTTCAGATGGAATCTCCTTTATTGTAGTTTGAAGCCATTGTTCCGCGTCCTAATCTCCTAGTCTAAAATGCACTATTTTTCAAAAAATTGAGGTTCAAAAAAAACAATGACATTGATGTCCTAGAATCGCTGGTTTGTTGTTACTGTTTTAAAAAGATGATCAGGAGTGGCAGCTGTGAGAGCGAGAGGGAACCCTCTTGTGCCACCACTAGCTCAGAGGTTTTTGTGTGTGTGTCAGGAGTGACTTGAGTGTAAGACTTGAATGACCTCTGGTGTAAGAGGCTTGACTGTCTGCAAGGATATTACCCAGGGGATCCCCAGATGTTTTACCATCCTGTAGGAGATTTCTCTCATGTCCCCCTATGAGAAGCTGGAGCTGACAGACAGGAGCTCACCATATTTGAACGACTGTCCTTTCAGTCAGCAGTCCTGCTGGTACAAGGGTTTAACCCATTGTGCCACCAGGGCTTCTACCAGCAGATTGTGTCCAATGTAGGAGGCAGAGAAGCTGGATCTTGCTATGGCTGCTCAAACTTCTCTGATGAGGTCAAGGAGGGCAGACAAGAGAGGCATCATTGCACGTGTAGTATTCTGGGAGTTTACTCTATGAAAAATTGGATCCAGTACCAGAACCGGAACTAAGGTTACTTTCAGCCTCAAGACTTTGCTACAAACAGTATTACATCCATATAGAGGAGCAGGTGGATCAACTAGATTAGTGTCCTCAACAGCCATGTTTGGGGAAAATGTCACAGGATGATGGCAATGGTAAAGAAGTTGTAATCAACTTCAGATGAGACAACTAGTGGGTTCGGATGCAGCAACAGGTACAGATGACAGAGGCAGCCAGAAAAGCAGAAACTATTGAAAATAATGGCAGTGGAGCTTAGGAAAACACCAGTGAAACTAAGGACCAAGGATGTGATCTAGAAGTCAGAAGTAAACACTCAGAATAGGTGCAGTATAACTGGAGGACATAAGCAAGAATGCAATGGAGGATTGAAATACTAAAAGTAGTTGTGTGAGTGGGAGACAGCAGAGATCTAGGCAAAGATACTACAGTTCTAGCAGGTGGAGTGGTCCTCCAATGGAGGAAATGAACAGGGCTGGCTATCATCCCTAGGGTAACATGATAATCTGCATTACAAATAGTCTCAATAAAAATTTTGATGCCAGTGAGAAGGAGAGTAAATTTAATAAGATCTAGGAAGTTCATGCCAATAGGGTTTGTGACATCAGTAGTTCTGGTATGACCCCCACTCACAATGGTACAATGAGCTACATATTGGTACAAAGAAGAGTGCATATGATAGGAAGGAACTCATTCCTCAAAAAAAGAAAATCAATCCAAAGGTGACAATTCGTAGGAGAAGGATGCCAAAATGATCAGGAGTAGTGAGTTGGAGGAAAATAAGAGTGATAAGCTAAAGTCGGTGATCAGAAAACAGGCTGAGAATCAATGAATTGAACTGGAGACTGTTCCATAGAGTGAGGTAGAAGTGGTTGCCGGCATGGTTAAATTGACAGTACTAATGACTGGTAATACAGAAATTTGTTAAATGGATTTAGAAACTTTCAAAGAAGGCAATGCCAAGATTGTAGGGAGAATCGTGCTGCTTCTTGTCTTTCATCTTGCAAGAATCCTAGACTTGAGAAATCTTTTCTTTCTTCTATCAGATGAGACTGAAGGCTGAGCCAGGCATCTCAAGAATACCAGTTTTAAAGACATCTGAGCTACTGAGACTGAAGAAGAACTCAGACCCTCTTCTGCTGTAGATTCTGCAGATATCGAGACTGAGGGATCTATCTGTGAAAGAGAAATATCCTCAAACTGAAAGCAGACAATACTGAAAAGGGATCCATATCTGAAGCTAACAATTCAGACAAACCAACAGTTGTCACAGTCAACATTTTCAAAAAAGGTTATAACATAGAGTTACATAACAAAGCACATGTCAAATGTAAAGGGTTATTTTGGATGGCTTGATCAGCAACCTTCAAGAACTGTTCCCAGCACTAAAATTTCAAGTGGTAGGTTCTGTTATTCAGACACTGTGAAATGAAGTAGCAACAAATTGGTACTGCTGGATGACATATGATTCACCCTAGTAAAATAAACCCTGTGAGTACCCATCAGGAAAGGGCAACTTGGTGCCACAATGGAAACCAAATTTAAAAAGGGCCTTATAGGCCAGAAAAGAAGCACAGCTTAAAGTTAGAGAGAAATGAAACTACTCAGCAATACATGCTGGATCTACACTGCCCTATAATCCAGTTCCAGAATGTGAATTAACCGCATTGAAGTGGACTATATCAGTCTACATTGCCCTATAATCCAAATAAATGTAGTTAATCCACATTCCAAAATTGGATTATAGGGTAGTGTAGATCCAGCCACAAAGGATAATCTGAATGGTAGACAGAGAGAAACTGAGGAGAGTAGAAGTGCTGGCAGGATGGATCATGTGTGGAAGAGAGGACAAATTAAGGCTTCTGCCAGGACTACCTAGTTCTAGAACTTGTCAATGGTGGCTTTGCCCATAATGAATAGCATTTAACAGCTAAGCAAGACTTAGTGAGGTTGAAACTATGTTTTTATCCCCAAAAAGGCAGGATCTGTTGTGGGAGGAGCATCTCCTTTTATCTTAGATCTAGTAAATTTCTCTGTCAGCAGCTTGTACATGATAGAGCCTTCAAAACCAGCACAAATTTTTCAGCAGTCACTTAAAGATGCATGCATTAAGGAATTGGTCATCCAGTTCCCATTTATAACGTCTCAGCTCATCAGCTGTGTCTTTTATATACAATACATAGTCCTGAACCATTTGACCAGGTTGCATCCAAGCAGAAATTAATTGGCCCAGCAGTACAAGACATCTGTATGTTGTCAAGTTGGCTAATGCCGATTTAGGAGTTTTTCTATTTTTCTCAGAGTGCTACTGATCAAACAAGAAGCTGGGATTCTATCTAATACCACTGGATTTTTTCTCTCTCTATTTGCCAACAGTCATAAGGCCAGCACAAAGAAAAAGTTGTATTATAGGAATTATATTCTAAAACAGGAAAGTTACTCGGGGTGCCAATCTACTCTAGTTACATTCTAGGAGAAGAGAAGTGAGGAGAACCCATGGAAAGGAGAAAAGATGGAGAAATATCCCAGGTGTATCAACATGCATCACAAGGGGCCAGGATAGGTAGAGAGTGAGAATATATTTAGGTCACTCAAATTACTACAGCCCACTGTGAGGCATTCTTGATTCTTCAGTGCTAAGCATTGTTGCACTTCCAACATAAGACACATTTGCATGAGGCACAGAGACCACAAAGAAGAATATCTGGATCTTAACACCACCTGAAGACCACAGGATTTAGACCTCTTTTGGAATGGAAACTACCATGGTCACCCCGCTAATTAAATTATACTCAGATTCAGAGAGAGAGAGAGAGAGAGAGAGAGAGAGAGAATATACTAAACAGCTGGTTCTCCTAGATCTCTGAGGATGCAAAGGCTTCCCTAAGATTGAAATACATGATATCAACCTTCAGTGATTCTACCTGCTGCTCCCTAACAACTCTCAGTTCAACAGATACAGAAAAGTCAGTTGCATAAAGGGTTTATTGGATTTACCATAAATATCTAACGCCAAAAATTATTGCATACTTCTCTGGAAGTCCGGACCCAGAATACTGTGCTATTCTGCCCCTTGACCTTTTTTGGGTACAAAGCATTGGCTGATGCTCAGCTTTTGGTCCACCACTTGATCCATTAATGGATACTCAGGTAAATTGTAATTGTTATTATAGTTATTTGGGACACAAAGTAACTAGTACACTAGGACCAGAATTGTTAGGGACATCAAAATGTGTAAATTTCCCTTACACATGCAGATGTTGTTTTCTGGGTCCTGTGGGGACTGATATTACCTACATCCCTCTGTATTCATTCATTCATTTATTTATTTTTACTGTACTCATACCCTGTCCTTCTCCCCCCAAAGGAGGACTTTGTAGCACCTAAAGACACCCATGTAGACAATTTAGCATATTGGAATTTCAGAATTCCTTATAAGGGATTTCAAACCGTACTGTTTTCTCCTGTCATGGGCAAAATGTCTCTGAATTTCTGTGAGAAATCATAGCAGGCGAATGCTAATGTTCTGCTTTGGGCTTGCTATAGGCACCTGACTGGATGAAACAGTTTCTGTTCTGATTCAATATGGGTCTTCTTATGTTCTTACAGCTAGATTTAAGGCACATAAAAATCAGAATACACAAAAACTAAAAACATTCTTATCAGCTACATATCTAAGCCAAGCTCCTATTGGTCTGATCATCGTTTACGCATCCAGCGTCTACAACACAGTCATCTTACTGTCTGGCATGGTCCCTTGACTATGCAGCATAACTGCTGGGTAGTAATTTCCAGATGAAGCAGGAGAATTGCTGTGAAGATGTGGGAGATTCTGACTCATCCCATGACTGCCCTTCTGACTATAGGAGCCACCGCTATTTTTGGGGGAGACGGTTTGGCCTCTGTAGACTTGAGCTTGGTGCTCACATAATCCAAACTTGCTAAGCAAAATGAAGACATCCCTTTGGAAAGCTTTGGTAAAGATAGCATAGAGGAATGGGTTAGCACAAGAGTTGAGTGGGTAAAACAAGACAAGCAGGATTTTTGAGTTACTGACAGTTATCAGGGGTTTGTTCATAATAGCAGATAAGGCATAGAAAGAGATTGGCGCCATACACAGGAAGTCAGTAAAAATCAGCACAGCCATCCTTTTGGCAATGATGGTGTCTTTGTCCCCTGACTTGTATTGAGGGTTCCGCACAGTAATATAGATTTTTACATAACAAGCACAAATTACAACAAAAGCAATGATATTCAGCAGTAAAACAAATACAATGTAGGCTTGATCCAAGGGTGTTTCGGTGTCCATAGGAAGGCAGATACTGACTTTTCCATAGCTACTAATGCCAACCAATGGTAAAAGAGCAAGAAGGAAACATACCATCCAACCACCCAGCATGATAACAGAAGCATGCCAGAGGCGGATTTTCTTGTCCAAGCGCATGGCAAAAGTGATAGCATACCAACGCTCTAGGGTGATTACAGTCAAGGTGAAGACTGACAATTCACTACCAAAGACAGTGAAAAAGCCAGCAGCACTACAACCAGACCCAGTCTGCCAATCAATGGCATGGTTGTAGTACTCTGACCTAGTGTAAAGGTCCACTGAAGCAATCAGGAGAAGATATAATCCCATGCAGAAATCAGCAAAGGCTAAATTACACATCAGGAATCGTGGGACTGTCAACTTGTAATGGCTGGTGAGTAGAATAAAGAGAACGAAAGCATTGCCTACAATGGCCAGCAAGTTCACAAACCATACCACAATCCTTAGAAATTGGTAGCCCATTACATCTTCACATGGGTTGAATTCATCAGGTTCTGGAGTACAACTAATATCATCAGTACCTGAACAAAGAGTATATTCATAATGGTTGTCAAATGTTGCAATATTCTCCTCTTGAGGATTCTTGAGCTCATGGCCGAAGCCATTGTCATGTTCTTCAAAAAAGACATAATAATGAGAATTTGCACGAACATCACTAAATTTGGAGGTCTCGTCATATACAGTATCAGTCCGATCTAAATAATCTTCCGCATAATCTTGGTAAAGCGGACCACTGAAGGTACCAGTAGATCTTCTTTGTCGGAAGTTATCATTGTTAGTTTGATTACACAGCAAGGACTCCAGAATTCTAAATAAATAAACACACAAAGAAGAAGTGGAAATGGATTTAGGCAAAGCAAACGTAATAATGGGAAAGTTTTTTCAGGATCTAGGCTTAAGCATATCATTCTCCAAAGCATGAAAAGCTCTGAGACCACGCTCTTTATCCATATTAGAACTCAAGAACATCTCTTATTATGCAAGCACATTGTAAGTGAATAATTGTTAACAAGAAACTCTCAGTTAATTGGCACCCATGGGGATTTGTAGAGGCTGAGTCAATGTATTTTCTAGTTACTTGAGAGTTTGTATTAAAAATAAGCCTAAAAATACCCCACACTATACTGTACCATATATCATATACTATATCATCTACCATAAACTCTGTATTGACTTGATATTAATATTGAAATGCAGTAATTAAAAGCAAATAAAGACATTCATATGGTCCAGACAGGCTGAGACCTCAAGGATAAATGAAAACGGTGGATATGAATCTGTGGATAAGAAGGGCATGCTAGCTCTAAATAATGATTTCATCAGTTGTACAATGCCTTGGAGAGCCTGGCAGCCTGAGATATGGCAAAAATTACATTTTAAACAAACCAATAAACAAAAATGTCAAAGGCAATGGCTTATTAGATACCTAGGGCCCAGGCTATTTATAATTTAGTCTAAATTGTAAGACTCACCCTTTTGATTTTTTCCAGTTCTTGAAAGCACAGCAGTGACTTGGGTATGAGAGAGCCGCATTTATCAGGTAAGGAAAAGTCTTTACTGGAGGCAATTTCTTAAGGGTCCAGGTATTTTCAGCTATCAATTCTTTAAGGTTTTCCAGCCCTCTTGCTGGAAGTTTAGTTATACCTGTCTGGGAGACATCGCTGATGATATTTTTAAAGAAAAATAAAGGATAATTGATTAGATCAAGTTTCCTTAAAGTGTTTCATGAATCATGAGTGTCACAGGACCACACTGTCAAAATAAAATATCAGAACACAGACTGTCTAGACATACGTACACATAACCTCAGGCTATGCATACTTGTGTCCTCTGTGCCTCCACCACCAGCTTTCTTTCATTCAATATATTCTGCTATGGTGTGGTTGGAGATGCAGGTAGGAGACACCGAATTTATTCTTGCTGCGGAACCGCAGTTAGGTGCTGCCTGGGTTCCTTTTTTCCTCTTCCAGCCAGGCAGTGTGCCCCAGAGATACATCCCACATCCCTCCTTTCTGCCAGTAATTAATCTCTATAGTATGCCCTGGGGACAGAAGGGATATAGCACTGGGGAACAGAGCATTACACTGAATCTGCACGGCATAAGATCTCAGACACTGTGTTATTATCTACCTGTCCACCCCACGTTTTTTGAGCGTTCAACCCACTTTTAATAAAATTTATTTTATAAATCTTGAAACAAACCTGTCAGGTAGATTGGTACTGTTATTACCATACTGTATATGGAGGAAAGGATCCTAAATTATCTCATCATGGCACAAGTATTCACTGGCAAAGTTATGCTATAGAAGCACATGGTCCCTGAATGGCATATATTTGGAACAAATCAATTGTTACAAATATGTAAGCATTATGTTTTCTTCATCTGGTGCTTGGGCCAACCACTTTACTCATAGTATACAAAGAGCAACAAAAGCTGCAGGTTCTATTTATAAGCTGTACCATCATAGATACCCAGGCACAATTAGACCTGTCTTGGAAGTCTTTAAGACAAAATAATGCCAACACTTATATTTGGGGCTGAAATTTGGGGGCACAGCAATTTGGTCAGGATCGAAGCTTTTCAAGTTAAGCAGCTTTGCACCCTCCTGGGCCTTTCCAGAACAACACTGACGGCGGGAATAAGGGTGGAGCTAGGAATGTCCCCAGCATTGGTCAAATCTTAATGAGACAATTCAATTATTGCTCAAAAATAAACTGGATGAATCCCAGTAGATTTCCTCATGATGTCTAGAGCAGTGGTTCTCAACCTGTGGGTCCTACAACTTCCAGAAATCCCAGCCAGTTCACCAGCTGTTAGGAGTTCTGGAAGATGAAGGCCAAAATATCTGGGGACCCACAGGTTGAGAACCATTGGTCTAGAGGATCAAGTCCACTGTGAACAAAGGTCATCATGGATAGTGGTATAGTTGGCTAAAATCAGCCTGCCTTTACAATTTCTGAACGATCTAGGACCTTGGGCAAAACAAGTGCTCATGCAATGCACTCGTGATATCTATGCTCAATTGGACCTAGCAAGCATAGGTAGGTCTTCTGCCACAAGGTTTTTAGCTTCCCACAAAATGGATATTCATTTAGAACACTATCTGACTTCTGTTACCCTTAAGAAGAATATATACACCAGTCCATTAACTGTCATAAAACATGTACACATATCTCAACCATGGAATGGCCATAAATGAAATGAAAAGGTACAGATCTCAAGGACTGTGCCATTTGTTTGCTAGCACTTCAGTAAGAGTATCTAGATGAGATTCAACTCAACCCCTCAATGACTTTTATTCAAAAAGCATTTTTTTCAGAATAAGTTGCCAATCCCAGGCCACATATTTCAAGGCACGATGTGCACTTTATACAGACCCGAAGAAAGCCCTGCCATGGTAAAACTGCATTCCTAACATTGAAGTATTCATATAGAAGATGTTACAAGGGGTCACATTTCTTTCAGTTTCTTTTCAAAAGCCTATGCATGTTAACTACTGCACAGAACACAGTATTATACAATATTTGTTGTTTAGAAAAGGCAAGAGGTGAAGGACCAATAAAATCTACCCAGCACCAGAAGACTGGAGTGTGCAATTCCAGCTTTGTTCTACCTTTGTGATAGGGTGAATACTTCTTTAAAATTCAGCATGAAGTCTTGGCATGGACTTTTAAGGTTCAAAATGATCTATGGTGTAGTTGCTTGAAGGACCAACTGTGACCATATCAGCTTACTTGGACTTTTTTCTTGGAAGACCTTCTTCTTCTGTACTAAGATCACAGGCTGTTAGAGCCTACTCAGAAAGTTACTCTTTACTACCCTTTAGACCAGTGGTTTCTAATCTGTGATCCGTGGACCACTAGAGGTCCTCAAGAATGAAAATATGGTGCATGCCCTCACCATTACTACATCACTGCCTCAAAACCACGAGGTAACGAGATATACTGGTCTTGTGAAACCCTCTTATAGTGCTAAGCCAACGGGGATGTTGGGAGGGGAGAGACTGACTACCCACAACAGATTAGTACTACCACATCAGCTCTAGATTATTAAATATGGTTTTGTGTGGGTGAGCTGATGGTGATTACTGGATGACATATGTTCTGTATCAGAAACTAGAGCTGATATGGGCTATACGATGGAATTTTCTGAATCAGCACTCGAAATAACCAAATTGCATCTAAAGTTGACCAAAAACCAATTCATAATGCTTTTGGTACTAATGTTGGAGAGTGGTCCTTGGTCAAAGTGGTCTCTGGTCAAGTGATCCCTGATCCAAAAAGGTTGGAGACTACTGCTTTAGACCAAATGCTTCAAAATCCAGAGGATGCAACAGTGCCATTTGGGTCTGCACTGGAGTTCCAGAGGACTTCTCAATATGGTAACTATTTGACGAGAGCAGAAGTGATGCTGCAGCACTCTTGGACACACTTTGGGTCTTTGAGGGATGTTGTTGCTGGTTTGGGGTCTATTTCAATGTGTAATGGAGTCACATTTCTTTCAGTTTCTTTTCAAAAGCCTATGCATGTTAACTACTGCACAGAACACAGTATTATACAATATTTAGATAATAACTTTATTTAACTTCTAGATAATAACTTTATTTAATAAAAGTTAAGTTAATAAAACCTGGCCCTTTGGGACAAATTTGGAAGCTTTTGTGGGAAGGTCACTTAGGGTCCACTTCCTGCTTCCCAAGGGGACTTTCCCCTCTTATATTCCTTCTTGCAGTACTTTGTTACTTCCAAAAATCTGTGTCAGAGTATTTTCCTTTCTGATTTTGAGTGGTCTGTGTGTCGTGGTGGTGGTGAGAAACTACCCTTTTCCCCATTCCAGAAATTGTTCTGCCAGTGTCAGGAGATAATTGCATAAATCCTTGTATGCTGACCCTCAAACAGATATTTCATAACAGACACTGCCTTAAGTTTTATTGCTTTAAAATTGTGTAGGACTCTGAAAGTTCTCAAGTTGTTTCTAAGGTCCTTTTATATATGTGTAAAATAATATCTTTTCTAAAATTTAACAGATGAGCAAAGCAGATGATACAATATTATGTATTTTCCTTTCCTATAAAGGCTGCAAGGCTGGCTCCAGCAATGACAGTGTCAAACATAACTCTCAATGGTACTTTGAAAACAAACCATCCCTCTTGAATTCCATAACTCTATGGTAGTGGAATGCAAACAAGTACACTTTTTAGCATCTTAGCTTTCATTAAAAAAAACATATCCCTTATTTGAATGTATTCATGCATCTGAACAGATAAGGAAGCATCTACGCTGCAGAATTAATGCAGTTTGACACCACTTTAATTATCATAGGTCAATGCTATGGGATCATGGGAGTTGTAGTTTGGTGATGCATCAGACTCTTTGGCAGAGAAAGCAAAAAAACCTTGTAAAAGAACAGCTTCCATGATTCCATAGGATTAAAGCAGGGCAGTTAGTGGTATCAAACTGCCTTAATTCTACAGTGTAGCTGCAGCCTAAGTCTACAAAAGTTGTATTGTCGAAGGCTTTCATGGCCAGAATCACTGGGTTGTTGTAGGGTTTTCAGGCTATATGACCATGTTCTCAAAGCATGGACATATAGCCTGAAGAATCTACAACAATCTGCAAAAGTTTATGCAAAAATCTCTTTCTCTCAGTCTCAAAGTTGCTACAAGATCCCTTTGTATGTTGATATTCCAGGCTAAGATGGTTATGATTTTGAATTCTATCCTCACTGAAAGCACCTCACTTAGATGGTTACATTTTCTCACTCAGGATCTAGGTTTCTGGTAACACAACTAGAATAATAATCTAGAACCCTGGTGAATCCATTGTAATCACTCCTAATTCAATTTTTAAAAACTACTTCAGTGTTAATGTTTTGAATTATGCTATTTTGCTTAAAGTAAACAGATGACCCAATTCTTCAAGCTTGAGCACTATGAAAGCTGATATTTCCTTTCTCTCTCTGTAACATCCATAACCCTTTCCCACTTACTGAATAGTGTCCAAGGCCCCATCACAACCATTCCCCATTTCTTGAGGTGGAGGCAGAAACAGAAAAAAAATGGAATTATATCACCGCCGAGATTTGTCAGGCTCCTCCTGAAGACTCAGTGCCACTGTAATCGTTTCACATCTCTACTCTATGAAATTTTATGGGTTGCTGTAAGTTTACAGGTGACTTGAAAGTACACATGGGGACATAGCCAGATATCTCCCATGATCCTGCCTGTTCCCTATGAAGGAGAAAATATCAGTGCAGAGAAGGGGAATTATTCTTCAGAGTCTTTCAGTAAGCTGGGAGAGTATATACTGGATTGCAGCCTACATCTACAAGGTGTTAATGCCATGTGACAGAAAACAGAAGGGAAACATGATAGATCTCTTTAAATGTAGTGCAACCCCTATCTACAATACAGGCTGGCCCCATGTTACAAACAAGATAGGTTGTGTAGGTTAGGTGAATTTGTATACGAGGATTGAATGAAAAGTAATGCCTCCACCTTCGTAACTCCTCAACAGATGGCAGTACTGGTATGCGGCAGATACTAGCTTGTTCAGTAGACTCTCCTCTACAGTTCCATTTTGGCAGTAAGCCTTAGCATTGAATGGTTGTGTTGTTAAAGTACGACGTATGGAACCCCAATGCGACTTAAGCAATGTGCAG